CACACAGCGGACGCCACTATGAACGATTTGATGGTATGGTTATCTCCCGCAGAGGTGACGTGAATTGGCCCCCAAGATCGTGCGATTTAACTCCGCTGGACTTCTTTTTGTGGGGTTTTCAGAAGTCACAGGTCTATGCCAATAAGCCGCAATAGACCGATGCGGTTAAAGCTAACATATCCCAGGCAAGTGCTGAATTTCAGCCGGATCTATGCGGCAAAGTCATTGAAAATTGGACCACTCGAATTCGTGCCACCGAGGGAAGCCGCGGAGGACATTTTAACGATGTCATATTCCATACATAATGGCATACATAGGCCTTTCAAATAAAAATATAATTTTGTTGATTCCTCACACACAGCTTGTTTTATTTAATTTTAACATCGACCCGCTCTTATTGGAAAACCCTTTATATATGTCATTTTTGAGCAACTTCTTTTTTTCAACTAAAAACAGGCTAAAAACTTTCAGGAAGGTGAAAAAAGAAGCTTCTAAAAATTTGAGCTTTGCCTGTTCCTAACTTTCCATTTTCCATTTAAATAACATGGAAAAAAATTGTTTCTTGTTTCTTATTTTTGTATCTTGACATTTAAGCATTGCAAAAACGAACTGAAATATTATTTTGGTTGGAAATTGAACGCTCTACAAAAAAGTACTAATTTATTTTTTCATAGAGTAAGCCGTTCTGAAGGTATTCAAACTTGCAAATGTATGAAATTATGACTTTTATTTTATTAAACTAATACTTTTTTATGTCTTAAAAATTATTTTAAGAAAAAATAATTATTTTCGTATAGAAAGAAAATAACAGTTACATCTCAATTTTTTTTCCATTTTATTTTATTTACTATCAAAAAAAGTTATTTGTGTTCAATAAATTTGTTCAATAATTTTAATAGATTAAATAAAACAATGAATTTTTTATTGTATTGAATTTTTAATCTTTCTTTTTTTATAATTTTAAAGTCGATAACTCTGATAAAAGATTATATCGGCTCAGTCGGTATATTACCGTTCGGATTACACAGTGAGTAGAGGCACGCTAACGTGCCTCGATTCGAAATGTTAAAGGCAACTTTAAGTTTGAATACCTTCAGAACGGCTCACTCTATGAAAATATATATATATATTAGGGTGTGCCAAAAAACCTCGATATTTTTTTTTTCTTGCTCTGAACCCAAAATATCGTAGAATATGTCCGAACAAATATTCTGTTAAAAGCGGAGCTCATAATTTCAATTTTAAGAGGTCCTCCATCGAATCTGAAGTTTTGCCGCTTAAATAACACAGAAAACTGACTTTTTTACCTTATTTATTCTTGCAACCTAGGAAGAATTTTTTTTTTTCATAAAATCCATGACTAATTCTTACAAAGCATTAAATTTGGACAAAAAAATCTTATTAAGCCGAATTTCTATTTTCATTATTTGATTTTTTACAGAGCTTTAAATTTAAAATTTTACGTTTTTTGCCTTTTTCAGCTAAACTATTTAAGTTAGACGAAAAAGTCAAATGGCAATTTTTTAGCTTGTCTGATGGACCACAAAAAAGTTTTAGGCGAATTTTTTGTATCGTCAATATTCCTAAAGTTACAGGCGTATAAAGTCATCATTTTTGTATTATTAACTTTAAATTTAAAGCTCTGTAAAAAATCAAATATTGAAAATAGAAATTCAGCTTAATAAGATTTTTTTGTCCAAATTTAATGCTTTGTAAGAATTAGTCATGGATTTTATGAAAAAAAAATTTCTTCCTAGGTTAGAATATTTGTTCGGACATATTCTACGATATTTTGGGTTGAGAGCAAGAAAAAAAAAATATCGAGGTTTTTTGGCACACCCTAATATATATACAAAATAACTTTTTTGTAGAGCGTTCAATTTCCTACCAAAATAATTTTTCAGTTCGTTTTTACAATGCTCCAATGTCAAGCTACAAAAATAAGAAAAAAGAAAAAAAAAATCCATGTTATTTAAATGGAAAATGAAAAGTTAGGAACAGGCACCACTTAATGTTAATATTAAGAGCTCAAATTTTTAGAGGTTTCTTTTTTCACCTTCCTGAAAGTTTTTAGCCTGTTTTTTAGTTGAAAAAAAAAAGTTGCTTAAAAATGACACACCCTAATATATATATAATATATATATATAATATATATATATATATTAGGGTGGTCCTTATTTAGGGTGTGTTCGAATTTTTCTTCACGATAGTCCTAAATAGGTTCCAAATATATATAAAAAATAATGTGCCAAATTGCAGCTCTTAATTTTAAAATTAAGCCGGCCCCCCCGACAGCCAAAGTTTTAAATGGAAATAACATGGGAAAAGTTCTGTTATTACTTTGGATTTTTTTAAGTCATGAACTAATACACGGATTATATAGAAGGATAAATATTCTTGTAACAAATTTAACGCTCTACAAAAAAGGTTTCTTGTGATTTTTTGCTAACTTGACTGGTTCAAAAGTTATTTGAGGTCAAAATCAAAGTTCTAGTCAATTCTATGTTTTTTTCCATTTTCAATGTGGTTTAATGATTCAAAAATGTAAAAAGGGTTATAATTTATATTCTAGATGACTTTTCTTATCTTGTCGTTTGCTCTAAAAAGAAAAATATTTATTGATTAAATATTATTAAAATTTCAATGGATTAATAAAAATACCAGATGGTAAGGCGGTCGCTTGGCATGCTAGAGGTACCGGGTTCGATACTACTAGAAGTTGTCGAACTATTTCTACTTATTTTTTTATTTTATAAATTTATTGTTCCTTTGTTAAAAAGTGTTGGGTTGGGTTGGTTGGTTTGTTTTAGTTTTATCGTAACATAACAAATCTTAAAATTATGACGTCACTCGGGACTAACTTAAGTCCCGCTTCGGGACGGGAGCCACAGCAATGTTTTTATTAAGAAGTTTGAATTTAAAATTAGAGTTTATCAAAATTATTACCAATTAAAATCAAAATCTTTTAACAATACATATGTCCAAAATATCTTGCGTATCCCAAAATTTTAAAAATCCTTCAAAGTTACGACAGTCCAAAAATAAAAAAACAATTGGTGTAACTAACTTTTTAGGGTCACGATTACCCTGAAAGTTTTCTAAAAAATAGAACCATCTAAAATATAAATTATAACCCTTTTTACATTTTTGAATCATTAAACCACGTTGAAAATGGAAAAAAAACATAGAATTGACTAGAACTTCCATTTTGACCTCGAATAACCTTTGAACCAGTTAAGTTAGCAAAAAATCACAAGAAACCTTTTTTGTAGAGCGTTAAATTTGTTACAAGAATATTTATCCTTCTATATAATCCGTTTTTTAGTTCATGACTTAAAAAAATCCAAAGTAATAACAGAACTTTTCCCATGTTATTTCCATTTAAAACTTTGGCTGTCGGAGGGGCCGGCTTAATTTTAAAATTAAGAGCTGCAATTTGGCACATTATTTTTTTTATATATTTGGAACCTATTTAGGACTATCGTGAAGAAAAATTCGAACACACCCTAAATAAGGACCACCCTAATATATATATATATATATGAAAGTATATATAAATATATATAAATAGTAAAAGTTAACATAGTTAAACAAAAAAGATGAGTTATTATTACATGATGATTCTTACCTACATTGGTAGTTGATTTATGGCGAGAAAAAGATTTACTGCAATTAGTGACTTTTAAAAATAAGCAATTACATTTAAAAGATACATATTCACTAATTACTGCAATGGCAAGAGGCACAAAGGGTTTATAGTTTTTGCACAGTCTAACAAACTCTACCAAATTATGTATAACCTTTTCTGAAATTTATATTACCTATTTAAAAACATAACATTTGTGATAAATAAACAATGTGATATTTTTATTTTCATTAGAAAAGTCAAAAAGCATTTTTTAAATATTATAATACCCTTTTAAATTTAAATAATTTTATTTATAGAAATGACTGCATCATAATATGCTTTAACTTAAAATAATTGTATTTAAGGGACTATAATAAAGACCTTTCACCTGAACTTATATGATATGAGTAACTTACAGAAGTTACTTGGCTAATATTAAATACATTTAATAATTTGTTCAATTCCGCACATAATTAATATTACGTTTATTACTTTAAAATAAATAATCCGTTTACATTATTAATATCTTCCATTTTTAAATACTTCAATGTATACTATAAATCCTTCAATCAGCCTTAAATATATCTATTAGTAATTTATTTCATGTTTAAAATGTGAAAATAAATATTTAAACATTAGAATGATATAAATCCACACAGGGTTTTCAATAAGGAAGAGTATTTTAGTACTTCTAAGGTTTAAAATAAATCTTTATTGTTTAAACATTCCTTTGACATACTTGTTTATTTAATTACATGCTGCTACATTGATTATAACCTAGTCTAGGATGGTAAGTACTACCAAAAAATGATTATTTATAGATAATTTCTGATTCATATTAAATGATATGCTGGAACAAAGCCAAAAGTGAGTTGTGAAAAATCAATAAATACCGTTATTTGTATGTTGCTTTTAAATAAAAGTACACAAAAGCGCAAAAATGCTTCAACTCTTTTTTGCCCGTACAATATAATATAGTAGATATAAACACATAAAACATTGTTCCACAAAAATACAGCATTGTGCCATATTGGTTACATGGGGGTTACAACGTTGTTCCAGCATAGCATTCATTTTTTTTACTGGAACTCTACCTGGAATATTTTTAAAGTGTTTTTAGTAAAAACTTTTTACTACAAGGCTGTAGACCAGTTATTTAAGATAAATACCAGGGGTCATTTTTTGCCTAAAATGACTAAGCTACTTCCACAAAGTGCCATAACAAACATTTTTAATATATTTTCATAAACAATAAAAAAAAGTTGTAAATTTTATATTTGTACAAAAAAATTGTTTTTAAAACGGTTTTAATAGTTCTTGACCAGACCTAGAATAATAATAGTAATTTAATTTTTTTATTTTTTGTAGCAGTGTTTTTAATTGAATAATCTATATCAATAGTTTTGCTTTGTATAAAATATTGGATAAATAACTTTTTACTTGATCATTCCTTAATGATCCCTGTATGATCCTTAATGATCCCTGTATGATGTATGATGTTTCAATTTTGATAGTCAATGGCAGGCATAATTTATATAATACTTCTCTATACATAATCTTTATATGATACTCAGTAACAATAAATAACCCTTAGAAAAAGATATACATATACATCAAAATCAACATACATCTCTATCGATAAATTAAAAGTCATTAAATAAAACAAATGTAAACCATTAAAAGTACAAAAAAAACATTATACAATATAAACATTGAGATTCTTTAAAAAAAGAATGGTTACACAGAGCTATTATTTTCCAAAATTTATTTAAGTAAATGCATGTAAAAACTTAGTTCCAATGAAAAAATTGTAGAACCATACTAAATTTTGCCAATAGTTCTTTCATTTATTGTTCTTAAATTTGGCAGTCAAAATTGACTTAAGTCTTGTTGTAGGTGATAAAACATGCGATATAGGCAATTTAGTATTATTTCTCATATCCCTATTACATAATTACAAACCAAACTATGTATATCCAAATATTGTATTTTGTATAAAAATAATAGCTCTGTATACTTAGTCGATAAGGAACAAAAAGCAGACACAAAGAGAAAAACATATAGTTAATACATTCATACATGTGCCTGCAGAAAACTTGTGGGGCAAAAATCATTTTGACCAGCAATATGGTTTTTGCATCAACCCAATTTTATGTTAGGAATATTGGATTGGGTAGCATTTTAAAAATGATATATAACATATTATATATAGTTATATACATATGACTAGTAGATAATTTACACCTCACTAGCAAGCATGTTAACACTTGTATTTTGATTTTTAAAATGTAATAGAAAAAATCAATACAAAGAGGGGCAGATTTTTTTATTTGACGTTGGATAAACACACTTCATCGGATATCTCTTATGTTTTGCTTTGAGCCAAATATTTTGAGCATCTGTTCCTCATAATCATTAATGTTGCGCTTCATTATGTTCATGCATGGTCCTAATAGCCTCTCAAATGCTTCAACGTCAAGAACTGAAAATTAAAACGCATATTAAAAAATAAAAAACATGATAATTTAAATTATTGATTTAAAATGTTTTTAAATTTGCAAAAAATCAATTTTTTAATTTTAAAACATGGAATTTTTTTGAAAGAAAGATAGTGAGTGTTTGTGTGTGTGGGGGGGTGGTTTGGCATTAGAATAAAATTCTTTGCCACAGTAGGTATTTATTAAACTTAATTTTGTAAAATAACTCAACATCATAAGTTGCATACATCAGTATCTATATTTTTAGTAAAATCAATAATATTGTCAAGGATATTTTTATCATTTGGACTTGATAGATGTGTTATATTGGTTGGAAGTTGAACAATAAAATTTAATAATAATCCCATTATTAACTATTACACCAAATACACAGTATGACAAAATTTGATTTTTTCCCTACCATGAAAAATTTCTATAGATTTTGAAAATAGACTTAAAAAATTGATACCCATGTCTAGGCGTTTTTTCAGATCACGTCATTTTTTTAAGTGCGATTCATTAAAATGTTGAATAAATAGACAATAGGGTGCTTCAAAAAATAAAATTTAATTTTTTTTCGCTCTTACCCTCTCAGATGTTTCTATTTAATATAAAAAAAATCCTCACCAAATATGGGCGTCTCAGCTCAACTCTAAAAGGTCGCTGTTTTTATTTTAGTTTCCCATTTAATTAACATGGGAAAAAATAATTTTATGTTTGAAATTTTATACCTTTGTATCAAAGTAACTTATGGCAATGATCATTGCAGTTTCTTATATCCCACTTTGGGGCGATTCCATGATTACTAACGGGACAAGCAAAAAAACAAAATGTTTTTGAACATTTTTGAAGATGTGTTGTTCCTATAATAATAATTTTATGCCAGTCCTTAGCAATGAAATTAAGTTATATTAACTATTATAAAATTATTATTATATGAACACATTTTTGTTTTTGGTTGTCCCGTTAGTAATCATGAAATCGCCCTTTGTTATTTTAAATAGAAAACCCCATATATTATTACATTTTTAAATTATACATAACATTCTAAATAAAATAACTGTACCTTATCCTGTACCTTAAGTGAATAGTTTTCGAGTTATTAATTTTTTTCGTTAAAATTTGACAAATGCGCGTCAGTCAAAAATGGCGTATAATTTTTTTGCTATTAGGTTTGCGGAAATGGGGGGTGGAATTTTTTGAATCTTAAAACATTGTTTAAAAGATGTCCTATTTGAAAGTGCCATTTTGTTTAAAGTATTTTTAAAAATGGATTATAAACGCTTTTAAATTTCAAATCGATATTTTTTTCCGTTCCCCAGAAACTTCCAATGGACCACCATTGTGAAACACCCTGTGTTTTTAGGTTGTGATACCACTATAGATTCTAAAGCAATGTATAATCGTAAAACTAAAAGATCAAGGATTGTTTCCAACATATATGTAATATAAGATAAATACAAATTGTTGTTTTTATTAAAAAAAAATTAAAACCAAAAATATATTTTTTAAAAAATTAAAATTATTATTTTAGTTAAGTATAATTTTTGTATTATGTAAAAACATACAATATTTGAAAAAAAATATTTATAACAAAATAGAGAAATAAAAATCTCTTTTTTATTCATATAATTTTTACATTACAATTACAATATTAATGACAATACAATCAACACAACACTACATTTTTTAAGTATACAATAAACCAAAGTTTGTGCATACAATCTATTTACTTTATTAGTTATTAGTACCTACCTATAATAAATTTTTTGATATTTTTAATAATATCAATATAATAACTCTTATATATTTTCTTCTCTTAGGGCCGGTTTATCAATGTCTAGTTAAAGTTGCAGTTTCCATGGATACCATTATTCTCACAACGATCAATATGGAATTTAACTGTCAGATAGACTAACTGGAACTTAACCGGAGATTGATAAACCGGCCCTTAGTGTCATTGTTATGTCCTAACCATAGAGAAAACAATGGTTCCAACCAGGGTGGTTCTTCCACCCTGGTTCCAACTATGTTCAAAACTAATGAATTATGTCACAGATTAAGTCATAATTATTAACCACACAAATTTTAATTTTATTTTAATTTTTACAGAAAGTTTTATTTTTTAGAACAGTGGGTAGGATGTTCAGTATTTTTGGTTTACTGTTATTACGTTTTTGGGATCCTGCAAATGTTTTCGGTATTGTTAGGTTTTTATTAGTTGTTATTGTATCATGTGATACAGTAGCATAATAAAATGTTTTGTCTTTGTGGTAGACTTTGATAATACTTTTTATATAAAGTTGTCTAACATTTAAAAGTTTGGCTTCTTTAAATAATTTATTAGTATTAAATTAACCTGCTGTTATTCTATACGAAATTATTGATTGCGCTAACGCAAAATATATTTGTTTTAGTATACTACGAGAAACGACATGCCTTAGTGGGTAAAAATTATATTGGTAACCCTTAAATGCATGATTTTTTTTTGGCATAAAAAATATCTTTAAGTATAATATGGGATTAAGATCAAAGGAAAAATAATAGAACAAAAATAATTTAGCTTTTTATTTAAAAAAATTAAAGAAAAAAAACATATTTCACATATGATACACTGCGCATTAAAATATAATATAATATATAATATAATCAAGTTTTATTTCTCATGAAAAGTACGAAACCAATTGGACCTTTGGTTAAAACATGGGCCTAATTTGCACTTACATTTGCACATACTACAAAAGTTGGACTTTTGCACGTTGAATTTTGCATCTTCCCCTATTTGCTCTCCACTCAGCCCAATGATCGGTCGAATCTTTTCTGACGTCTACTGGTGGTACAACGGCGGCTGGATTTCTCCTTTTTTTTAACTGTAAAGTATTTTGCAGTCCATTGCTTGATGGTTGGCCCCGTTTTGTTGACTTTTTTCCAATTGTACACAAGGTTTGGGTAACTTCAATCCCTAAACTTTTTTGGGCTAGGGGCTTTATGTTTTTCATTTGACAATCTCTTTTGTAGCCACGCATTTACTATAGCTACATCAATTAGGTGATAAAACAATCTAAAATACCATTTTTTTTATTTTAGTCTGATTTTGTGGCGTCCGATGTGACTCTCAAACAAATCCACCCCTCCCATATGCTTGTTATAAATTGTAATAATTTCTGGACAGCTGACTTCTTTATATTGCTTGTTTTTGCGGTCAAATCTTGTAGCAGTGGTTTCTGGTTTCTGTCCAGAAAAGGTAGACAATAAATTAACAATTTTGTTGTCTTTCCAGGATATGCAAGCAATATTAACACCGTCAACATTTTCAACAAATTCAACAGATTTTCCTCTCATTTGTTTTTTGAACTCTTGGTCAGTTGAAAGTTTACAGTTTAAAATCCTGTTTCTTCTCACTGTTCCTAGCGGCAAAATGCCCTGATTATGCAAATACGCCATGAGAGGTAGTGAAGTAAAAAAGTTGTCAAAGTAGATTTTATGACCTTTAAATTTAGCAAGAACTCTTGCTAGGCGAACCACTACGTTTGAACTTGCTTCAAGGTCTGGTTCATCTACGTTTCTTTAATTGAGATTGTTTTCTTGTCCAGGATAGATTTCAAATGCATATGCATAGCCAGAAACACCACATAAAAAAATAATTTAAACCCCCACTTGTGTGGTTTGTTTGCCATATACTGCTTGAGGTGGTGTCTTACTTTGGTGGCACAAATCTGCTCGTCGACAGACAAACTTTCTTCAACAGGAACAGAGATAAATTTTTCTTGTAAGCTGGTAATTATAGGACGTATCTTATGAAGCTTGTCAAATCCCTGCTGCCCATCAGCAATTTGGGTTTCATTGATATTAAAATGTAAATTAGAACGCAATTTTTCAAAATTATTTAAGGACATTACTTCTTTTACGAAATCGCTTCCAGTTACATCAGCCCAGTAGTCTCTAATATTTGTACAATAAGAAACCGAGGTAAAGATGCAAATACCTATATATTTTCGAATATCTTCTTTTTTTACATGCTCCGGCTTGTTGGAGTTGCGCTGAGCAGTGTATAAAGTTGATTCTTCTGCAATTTTTGCAACAAAGCATCATCAAAAAAATAATTGAAGAACCTATAAGGAGAATCTGGATGTAAAATTTCTGGTTTGGGATTTGTGTCGCCAAGAAATTTTTTTTTCGCTTCAGGGAATTTAATGTTGCTTGATGAAACCTCCTTACAGTTAGAAGCAATTTTCGTAGGAATTTTCTTTATTGTTTTTTTTAATTTGGAGATCTATTTTATAGCAGTAGTAATAGATATTTAACTCAATGTTTATGAAATAATAGCACTTCTCTGCAGAGAAGTGCTATTATTTCATAAACATTGAGTTAAACAAAATATATTTGTTTTAGTATACTTGGAGAAACGACATGCCTTAGTGGGTAAAAATTATATTGGGTTCTTTAAAGTATATTGGTAACGTATTTAATGTGATGTTGCTATTTCATGCACTGATCCAGGACTACTCCCAAATATTTAATAGTATAATTTTGGTTTATGTTTTCATTACAGTTGCATCATAAAGTTAATATTTAATAAAGAATTGTAGGTATACATGTTTTTCTCTCCTATGTCCTTCCTTAAAAAAGTTATATTTAATGTGTAAAATTACTTTTTTTTGCTCTGAGCCAGCTGTTAAATTGTTACACGCTATTGTCACCAAGTCCTGGAGATCTTCATCGGTCTTTAAGGTCGGCATAAAATTGGCTGGCGGTCCGGATATGGACCGCGGTTCTCCATTTGGTGACCCCTGCTCTATAGTATAGAGCATCGTTTCTCAACCTTTTAAGTGTCGCGACCCACTAAATAACCAACAAGTTAAAAAAAACTACAATATGTTAATTTGAATTGTTTAAAACTAACATTGATTTAAAAAATTATTAGAAAATTTCGTGAAATTTTAAAGGTCAACAATTACCTCATGGGTGGCTGGAGAGAAGAGAGACGAGAAAACTTCCCTAAATC